AGAAGAAGAGAGAGAACAAGAAATTGAAAACTTATTTGAAACAATAATGGTAGAATACTTCCCTAACTTGGTGAATGAAACAGACATACTAGTTCAGGAAGCACAGAGAGTCCCAAAGAAGATGAACCCCAAGCGGCCCACACCAAGACACATCATCATCGAAATGCAAAAGGTTCAAGACAGGATCTTAAAAACAGCAAGAGAAAAGCAGTTAGTTACCTACAAGGGAGTTCCCATTAGACAGTCAGCTGATATCAAAAGAAAATTTGCAGGCCAGAAGGGAGTGGCAAGAAATATTCAGAGTGATGAAAAGCAAGAACCTACAACCAAGATTACTCTATCCTGCAAAGCTGTCATTTAGAATCGATGGCCATATAAAGAGTTTCCCAGACAAGGAAGAGCTAAAGGAGTTCATCGCCACCAAACCATTATTATATGAAATGTTAAAGGGTCTTCTTGGAGAAAAATATAAAAAATATGAACAAAGAAAATGGCAATGAATGCGTAGCTACCAACAATTGAGTCTACAAACAAAATGAACAAGTAGAACAGAAACGTTCTCAAAGATACAGAATATTTTGTTGGTTGCCAGATGGGAGGGGAATAGGTGAAAAAGGTGAAAGGATTAAGTACAAATTGGTTGCTAAACTAACAAACCTCAAAGGGAAGGGGGCTTGGGGGGGTGGGAAGAAATAAATCAAAGAACTTATATGCATATATACATAACCAGTGGATGCAGACAACAGTGTGGGAAACGGCAGGAGGGGGGCGGGAGTGGGGAGAAAGGGGGTCAGTGGAGGGAAAATGAGGAATATATGTAATACATTCAACAATAAAGATATAATTTAAAAAAAATAATAAATAAATGATAGCTTTGCTGGGTAGAGTAATCTTGGTTGTAGTTCCTTGCTTTTCATCACTTTGAATATTTCTTGCCTCTCCCTTCTGGCCTGAAAAGTTTCTGTTGGGAAATCAGCTCACTGTCTTATGGGAGCTCCCTTATGGGTAACTTACTGCTTTTCTCTTGCTATTTTAAGATTCTTTCTTTGTCTTTCTTCACCGTTTTGCATTTTAATTATGATGAATCTTGTGGGCCTCTTTGGGTTCATCTTGTTTGGGATTCTCTGGGATTCCTGGACTTGTGTGTCTGTTTCATTCTCAAGGTTAGTTTTCTGTCATTTTTTCGAATAGGTTTTTAATTTCTTGCGCTCTCTTCTCCTTCTGGCTCCCCCATGATGTGAATGTTGGCATTCACATGCTTGAAGTTGTCCCAGAGGCTCCCTACACTCTCCTCAGTTTTTGGATTCTTTTTTCATTTTGCTGTTCTTATTGGGTGCTCTTGACTTCCTTATATTTCAAATTACTGTTTTGATTCTCAGTTTTATCTACTCAACTGTTGTTTCCCTATAAATTATTATATAAGTAAGTGTATTCATTTCTGACTGTTTTTCTTTAATGATTTCCATGTCGTTTTTAATGCTATTGAAGTTCTAAATTCATCTACTCTTTCTCTAAGTTGATTGAGCATCCTTTTAACCAGATTGCTTGCCTCCATTTTGTTTAGTTTTTTTTTTTCTGGAGTTTTGTTCTGTTATTTCATTTGGACTATGTTTCTCTGTCTCTTCATTTGGGCTGCCTTCCTGTGTTTGTTTCTATATATAAGATAGAGCTACTACATCTTCCAAGGTTGGTATAGTGGCCTAATGTAGTAGGTGTCCTGTAGGGTGCAGTGGCACAAGCCTTCCTGAGCTGGGCACTCTAGGTGAGTTCCCCACCCCAGGCTGTGTACACCCTCCTGTTGTAGTTGTAGTTGAGGCCTGATTACTGTTGGCATGTCAATGGGAGGGATTTACTCCAAGGCTGAATGGCCACAATGACTGAATGTGACCACGGTGGAATATCAACTATGCCGTAACCTACCCCCAGAGTGGGACTTACTTTAGCGGGGCTCTCATGCCCATTGAGCTCACCCCTGGGTTTGTCACTTGTGGAGGTAGTTAGGTGGTGCTTCATTGTGGTCTAAAGCTGTTCTTGGGGTATACTGGCTCTGGGGCCTCCCAGGAGCTGTGAGGTCAGCCATTGCCTGTACTCTGTCTGGGACCACCCAGAACAAGCTACAGAGCAATCTGCAGATAGTTGCTACTTGTTCTGGGTTTGGAGGTGCCCAAGAGAAGCCAAGCTGCTAACCAAGACCTGTTGCTGCTAGTGCCGGGCCTGGGGCCATTTAGCAAGTGGTATGGGGCAAGCCAAGGCTAGATGCTGCTTGTTTGAGAGATTTTAGGAAAGTCTGAAGCCTGAGCCTTGACAGGCTATTCATTTGAAAAAATCCACTGGAAATAGCTTGGGTTTGCCCACAAGTTGGGTGGGTCTGGATTTCAGGGAATCACCAGAGCACAGCTGATAGTGATAGCCAGATTAAAGAAGACTGAAATATGGCACCCACCTATGGGGCTCTGTGGGGGGAGAACTCAACATAGGAACAATGACCCTTGTCAGCAATTCTGTCTGGTATAAAGCTGCCCCACCCCAGCTCTCTCCTTGATGCTGGACAGTTCAGTTCTTCCCTTTTGTCCCTGGAGCCTTTTAAGCTGCTGCCGCAGTGCTGAAACTCAGGAGTGAATCTGAGTAAGTCTGTGTGCAGGCCTTTAAAGAGGAACTGCCTGGGACTCCTGAAGCGCTCTGTCTCACTCAGCCACAATTCCCGCGGGTTTATTTTTGTTTTTAAAACAATACTTTTTTTGCCCTGGCTGGTTTGGCTCAGCGGTTAGAGCATCGGCCTGCGGTCCGGAGAGACCCGGGTTCGGTTCCCACTAAGGGCATGTACTTCGGTTGCGGTTTGTCCCCGGCCCTGGTTGGTCGTGCGGTGGCAGCCACTCGATGTGTCCCTTCACGTCAATGTTTCTCTCTCTCTGTCTCTTCCTCTCTCTCCCTCCCACTCTATCTGTACAAAAAAAAATAAAAATAAAAAAGTACGTTTTTACTTTTTATTGATTTGAGAGAGAGAGACATCAGTTTCTTTCTCTACTTAGTTGTGCATTCATTGGTTGCTTCCTTTATGCGCCTGACTGGATATTGAACCTGCAACCTTGATGTATGAGGACAACACTCTAACCAACTGAGCTTACCTGGCTAGGGCCAATCCCTGCTGGTTTTACAGCCAGAAGTTATGGGAACTTCTCTTCCTGGCACTGGAACCCTGAACTGGGGGACCTGGTATGGGGCTGGGACTCCTCCCTCCTCAGGGGGGACCTCCACAGCTGAGATAATTCTCCTGATTTTTATCCACCACATGTTTGTGTGGTGCCATCCTGTTATACATCTCCACTCCTTTTACCAGTCTGTATGTGGCTTCTTCTTTGTATCTTTAGTTGTAGGGCTTCGATTCAACTAGATTTCAGGTGGTTCTGAATGATGGTTTTTCTGTAGTTTAGTTGTAATTTTGATATCCATATCAGTATTTTTTTATTTTTTATTTTTATTTTTTATCCTCACCCGAGGACATTTTTCCATTTTTTACTCAGATAGAGCAGGAAGGAGAGAGAGGAAGAGAGAGAAACATCGATGTGAAAGGGACACATCGAGTGGCCGCCACCCACACGACCCAAACAGGGCCGGGGACAAACTGCAGCCAAGGTACATGCCCTTAGCGGGAACCGAACCCGGGTCTCTGTGGACTGCAGGCTGACGCTCTAACCGCTGAGCCAAACCGGCCAGGGCGAGTATTTTTTTTTTAATTCCTCACCTGAGGATACTTTTCTATTTATCATCAGATTGAGTGAGAGGGAGGGAGGGAGGGAGAGAGAGAGAGAAACATCAATGTGAGAGGGACACATCAGCTGGTTGCCTCCCACACGACCCCACCAGGGCTGGGGATGAACTGCAACTGAAGTACGTGCCCTTTACCTGAATCGAATCTGTGACTCTTTGGTCTGTGGGCTGATGCTCTAACCACTGAGCAGATTGGCCAGGGCCATACCAGTAACTTTTAATCAGTTAAGGTTTTGGGAGTCAGAGATGTACAGAGCGTGGTCTTAAGCACCATAGATCATTGACAGAACTATTAGATAAAATCTCTACCCCTCAAAATATTTGTAGTCTAGCTGACTGAGATAGGGCAAATATATAAGATGCAATGTAAAGTCCAGTGCAGTGGCTAAACTATATGTTGTATACTAAACACTCAGGAGGAATAAAAGCCTTCAAGAATCAATGGGGGTAGAGAGGTGAAGGTAGCTAAGTACCCAGCATGTAATATGGGCTCACTAAGTGATATTTGTTGCTCTTATCCTCATCCTTACTCCCAAGTTTCTTACTCTAGATGTTTAGGAGAATACTGATTTTATTTATACAAGTAGAGAAGTTGAGAGGAAAAATTGTTATTATTTCTGGAAGAACTTTGAGATGTTTAAGTGTTGTCCGGTTGGAAAGCTGTTTCCTGCACATAATGAAAGACGTAGAGCTAGAGTTTCTGGTGAAGACTCAAACAGCTTTGAGAACCTTTTCCTTATATACAGTAGATAAGTTTTCCAAAAGGTGAGTAGGGCAATAATTAGTTTTATTTCACACTGTTCTTTATAGCAACTAAAGTTGACACTAAAATACCATGACAAAAATAATATAAGATTCCCATTTGTCAGTGAAATAGAAAAATGAGGGTTTGTGCTTATTGTGCCAAGAGTTAAAATCTCTGCATCTTTGAAATTCTGGCTTTTTTTTTTTTCTTGGTTTGTCTCATGGCTTAACAGTTGGGATGTGAGAGAGAAAAAGAGATTTAAAAAAATTCTTGTGTCTAACTTAAATTCTCAAATTCTTAAGCTGTTTTTGTTCTTGTCTTGCTAGGTCTCATCATCTCTATTTAGATTTTCACTTATAAATCATGTTTCATATATGTGAACAGCATTGGGAATGTGACCTTTCTCATGACCCTGTAAGCAAAGATTTTGCTTTGTGTTTCCCAGAATAATTGTCACTAAAACATATACATTTTGCTTTTCCTCTAGGTAAAAATCTCTACACCAATGAATATGTAGCTATCAAACTGGTGAGTAGAATCTATATTTGTGCTAAGTATGTTTTGGTGCTCTCCTTACATACATCTTTTTACAGGTAATAGTTGTGAGCATTTACAAAAATACTGTTGTTGTTGTTTTTCTCTTGCATATGGTCCCACAGAGTCATTTTCCTTCAACCATATATAGTGTTACAATCATGAATCACTGTATACTATATAACATTAGATGATACTAACTATAGTTAGCCATGATTAATCAAAAATAGTTAATAGCCCAGCCAGAGTAGCTCAGTGATTGAGCATTGACTCACGCACCAAGAGGTTGCCAGTTTGATTGTCAGGGTACATGCCCAGATTCTAAGCTAAGTCCTCAGTGGGGGGCATGCAGGAGGCGGCCAATTGATGTTCTCTCTCATCGATGTTTCTATCTCTCCCTCTCCCTTCCTCTCTCTCTAAAAATCAATAAAGAAAAAAAAAATTTTTTAATAGTTAATAAAAAATAGCTGGAAGAAAAGAAAAATCACTGGAAAACTAATCATTTTTGTGAACTTTCATACCTTTCACAGTGCTATTTTAAAAGATAAAATCAGGCCCTGGCGGGTTTGGCTCAGCGGTTGGAGTGTTGGCCTGTGGTCCCGAGATATCGGGGTTCAGTTCCCACTAAGGGCACATACCTCGGTTGTAGTTTGTCCCTGGCCCTGGTTGGGTCGTGTTGGTGGCAGCCACTTGATGTGTCCCTTTCACGTCGATGTTTCTCTTTCTCTCTCTCTCTTCCTCCCACTCCATCTGAACAAAAAAAAAAAAGGAAAAATGTCCTTAGGTGAGGATTAAAAAAATAAAAGATAAAATCATTTGCCCTGGCTGGTATGACTCAGTTGGTTGAGCATCATCCATGTACCTAAAAGTCGTTGGTTCAATTCCCAGTCAGGACACACATCCCCTGGTTTCAGGTTCAGTCCCTAGTCACAGTGCATGTGGAAGTAACTGATCGATGTTTCTCACATCAATGTTCCTCTCTCTCCATTTCTCTCTCTAAAATCAGCAAAAACATGTATTTTTTAAAAAGGTAAAATGATTTTGCCCTGGCCGGTTTGGCTCATCGGTTAGAACATCGGCCTGCAGTCTGGAGAGACCCGGGTTCAGTTCCCGCTAAGGGTGTGTACCTTGGTTGCAGTTTGTCCCCGGCCCTGGTCAGTTGTGCGGATGGCGGCCACTCGATGTGTCCCTTTCACGTCAATGTTTTTCTCTCTCTCTGTTCCTCTCTCTCCCTCCCACTCTACCTGAACAAAAAATGGAAAAATGTCCTCAGGTGAGGATGATAAAAAAAATTAAAAAATAAAAATAAAAAGGTAAAATGATTTAAAATTTTTATCTTTTTTTTGACTCATCTAAAAAATTTAAGGTATTTATTAATATACTTAGCGCAGAAACAAATGTGACCATCTAATCATTGTCTTAAAAAGCTGCCAAACATGAAAAACACATCATGTGGTCAAATTTGAAACAAAGAGTTTAATTGATTTTGTCAGTCCTGATCTTATGAATACCTGGTCATTGAAAATAGCATCCTATTAAAAAGGAATAATTATGTGATTTTAAGGATTAACAATTTTATAACAAACAATTCTTTTTCTTATTATTAATAGAAAACCATTTCTAGTTATATGAAATGTTTCATTTGACTAGTTTGTATGAAACTTATATAAGTATTCACCATACTAAATCCTAGAACGTTTCCCAGGCGTTTTAGGTAGTTTTGGGCTTTATTAGTTGCAAGACAGAGGATTTAATGGTTGAAGGACCTATATTGTGACAATTGAATGCTGTTTTTTTCTAATGAATTGCTTACTACATTCGCATCTGCTCTATGGTTGGTCCCTTCTTCTCATTTAGTTTGTCAGTTTATGAAAGAGTTAGAGTTGTTTTGTGAAAAACTGACAGTTACTAGGTTGGTTTCTCTACAAAGAAGTGAACAGAGAGCAGGGCTTAGAGCAGGTAGTTGCTAAGGAACCAAGTGTTTTATTTGTAAACTTAGAATTTTTGTTTAAGAAATGGGAGCAATGATGTATGCATAACCAATGGACATGTACAACAAAGCCGGGGATGGGGAGGGGGGAATGGGAAGGAGGGTGCCAATAGGGTAAAAAAGGAGAAACATCTGTAACCAAAAAAAATTTTTAAAAAATAAATAAATAAAAATAAAATAAAATGTTAAAAAAAAAAAAAGAAATGGGAGCAATGCTCTGGTTGGTTTGGCTCAGTCATTGTAGCATTGGCCCACAGACCAAAGAGTTACAGGTTTGATACCAGTCAAGGGCACGTACCTAGATTGTGCCTGCACTGGTTGCAGAAGACAGCTAATTGATGTGTAGCTCTCACATCAATGTTTCTCCCCCCCTCCCTCCAGCTTTCTCCCTGTCTCCCTCTTCCTCCCCCTCCCTCCCTTCCACTCTATCTGAAAATCAATGGGAAAATATTCTCATGTGGATAAAAAAAAAAGAAGAAATGGGAGCAAGAAGAGGGGTAATGAATGTAACAATGCATGACAAATATTTTCTCAGGTTGACTATCAAAGAATTAACCATTTTTTAAATTTATGCAAATTCAGTTATTCTATAAAAGTGTCCTGTCATTCATCTGTTTTATTTATTTTTTGTTTGTTTTACTACTTTGGTAAGTTGTAATAATTTTGATTCTGTGGGACTAGTAACAGGAAGAAGCACTTTACTTTATACTAAAATACTTTAATATTGCCTCAATACTGTATATTTATTATTGTACCTTTATTTATCGAGACTTGTTTTTTTTTTTAATATCTTTTTATTGATTTTTTAGAGAGAGAGAGAGAGAGAGATAGAAACATCGACGTGAGAGCGATACTTTGATTGGCTGCCTCCTGCACGCCCCCTACTAGGGATTGAGCCAGCAACCCAGGCATTTGCCCTGACTGGGAATCAAACCCGGATCTCTCAATCCATGGAACAATGCTCAATCCACTAAGCTACCACCGGCCAGGCTTTTGAGGCTTTATTTTAGGGGCAAATCATTCTATCTAGATTTCTCCTTCCAGAGTCATATATTTAACCTATTTAGATAAACTTGCATAATGTATTATTGTTGACATGACTGACTGTTGCATTTCACTTTTAAATTTTATTAAATTTTTATTCTATTTTGTATGGCCAACAGTTAAAGCTAAAAATAGAATTAATGTTATCTAGTATGGTATGACTTAATATCTTACTTTCTATCAAATAAATCTTAAAGGCATTTTAGAGGATAACAATCTTGTCTATGGGCCTCCTCTTTTGCTGTTGGTCTGTATTCTTCAGGGGGGATATAATGGGAGTAATTGAGCTCTTTTCATTATAACAGCAAAATTAGCCTTAAGCATTATAGTCCTACAAGGTAGCTGTCTGCTGTCGGTTTAAGATTTCAGGTAGGCATGTGTGTTTCAGAATAACTGTGATTCTGGCAAATAGCCTGCCCTCTATGGAAATGTAATCAGCATCTGGCACAGAAATACAAGGAAGCCCTGCTGGTACTGTTTCAGTTCTACTTTGTTTGGATCTTCATTGTGGGCTCTTGTTTCTTGAATACCTAGGAAACTTTTTACATAACCATATGCAATGTAAACAAATAGTGTAACAAGTCCCTCCTTCATCTCATTGAGATCTCTAAGGTTCTTTTTAACAGAGGTTTTCTAATAGTTGTTTAAAAAAAACCACAAGTCTCTCCACACTGCTAATCTTGCTGCCTCCACAAGCTGTAGACTGTTTGTTTCCAATGTCCTTTATTCATAGTGCTTCCAGAAGAGCACCTTGAAGCTCCAGTTGGCTAAGCAGGCTACAGTTATGTACTGAAGGGGTTGGCTGAAGGATGTAAGTCTTTCCTTTTGCAGTAAAGGCCCCTCCATTTTGTAACATACATGATGCGTACACCCACTTTTAGCCATATAACTATAAAGGATTTTTGCTTTTTTATCTTCTAGCTTAGTTACCCAGGATCAGATTAAATATTTCTTATAAAGATTTCCAATATAAAGTTTGAGAGTATTGTTTGTTACCTATTGTGGTTTGTCTGAGTCCGAGGACTGTTTCTTCAGAAAGAACACTCCTCTTTTTGTATTTAGATCCACCTTTGCCTGGTTCCATATTAATTTGTCATGACTGTTCTATTTAGTACTTGTGAATTTTCAGTAATTTTGCTAACAGACAAATTATATAATTGCCTGCTTTGATGGTGATCCAAAATCCAAATGGAGACTCAAGAGTGATCCCTCTGTATCTGGAGAGCTAAATGAATAAGGCAGTGACTCTACAGTATAATTAATATTATGTATTTTTCTTTTGATGACAAGAATATTGAGAAACTTGAAGTCCATTTCTAATATTTGCTGCTTTTACAATCAAAGAAGGGTATGAGTTCTTTAGAGTTCCTTAGGGATATGATAAAGCAGGTCCTTGAATAATGTTTCGTCCAATTTTGTTTCATTGTAACATTGATGAATTGCCCTAGGAATTTAATTCCTATTTATATCAGTTAGCCTGAGATAAAATTGATTTTGTTATACATTGTTTTGCCACAGTTCCAAGAACTTATTGACAACATTAAGTGAGGATGTACTATATTCCAGCCTATATGAATTGATTTAGATAAAACCTTCCAAGAAGCAAAGGGATAGATCAGATAACTTCAAGGAAACTTCTGAATTCTGTGATTTATAGATTCTGTATCTTAGGAGTAATGCGTAAAACTTCAAGTGAGTTCAGAAAGAGCCTTCAAAGGTGATCAAAGAGCTAAAATGTAGGACCAATAAGGAGAGGTTAAAGGAATTAAAATTACTTTACCTGAATAAAAGGAAATCTAAGAAATGATTGAATAGTTTTGATATTCGATATTTGAATAGGTATGTACAGATTATTGCAGAGCTTTTTTATCTGTTATTGAGGACATAAGAGAAATAGGCCTAAGTTTCAGTAGTGGAGATTTTAATTCAATATAAAGACCTTCTGTTCCATGAAACTTTTTTTTTCTTTTTTCTTTTCCTATTTATCTTCAGATAGAGTGGGAGGGAAAGAAAGGGAGAGAGAGAGAAAAACATCCATGTGAGAGGGACACATCGACTGGTTGCCTCCGGAACAACCTCAACCAGTGCCAGCAATGAACCGCAACCTAGGTACATGCCCTTGGCTGGAATCGAATCCGGGACTCATTGGTCCATGAGCCAATGCTCTACCACTGAACCAAACCAGCCGGGGCAAAATTAAAATGTATGTATCAAAGAATTTTGAACAGAGTGAAAAGGCAACCCAGGAAATGGGAAAAAAAATTTGAAAATTATATGTCTAACAAGGAATTGGTATCTAGAATTTACCTTTTTAACCAGTTTTAAGTGTACAGTTCAGTGGTATTAAGTGTATTCACATGTTTGAGCACCCATCTCCAGAACTTTTTCATCTTCCTCAACTGAAATCCTGGACCCCTTAAATACTAACTCCCCATTTCCCTCTGCCCTTAGCCCCTGGCAACCACCATTCAACTTGCTGTTTCTATGAATTTAACTACTCTATAAGTGGAATGATGCAATATTTGTCCTTTTGTGACCAGCTTTTTTCATTTAGCATTATGTCCTCGAGTTTCATTCATGTTGTAGCATGTGTCAGAATGTCCTTGTTATGGCTGAATAATATTCCATTTTATGTTTGAAACAAAATGTACCCACATTTTGTTTATTCATTCAATTGTTGATAGATACCCAGTTACTTCCACCTTTTGACTATTGAGGATAATGCCACTGTGAACATGGGTATAAAAAAATCAATTTAAGTCCTGATTTTTTGTGTGTAAATATCCTTTATCATATGGTAATTCATGTTTGTTTGTTTTTGAGAAACTGTCACACTGTTCACAGTAGCTGCATGATTTTATAGCAGTGTACAAGGATTCCAGTTTCTCCATATCCTCTCCAGTACTTGTTATTTTTTGTGGTTTTGATAATAGCCATCCTAATGAGTATGCAGATGTGTCTTTTAGGAGTAATGTCTGATGTTCTTGTTACCTAGTTGCATGGTATACTATCAATTCAGAAGAATTAACCCACCAATTCTTGAAGTTTGATATAGAGCAAAGTGTGGTAGTTCAGCAACTTTATTTCTGGGGTCTTTAGAAAACTCTCTTTTTGAAAATTTGAATACCATATTGATTAAAGTTACATGTTTTAATTACATTTATAATCTAGTTATCTTAAATGTAAAACTATACATAAAAATTTTCCTATAGCAACTCATCCAGTGTGGCTCAGTGTTTGAGCGTTGATCCCATGCACCAAGAGGTCACTGGGCCAATGCCCCATCAGGGCACATGCCCAGGTTATGGGCCCAATCCCCGGTAGGGGGCATGCAGGAGGTGGCCAGTTGATTTTCTCTCTCATTGATGTTCCTGTCTCTCTCTCTTCCTCTCCCTTCCTCTCTCCCTAAAATAATAAAGAAATGATTAACACATTTTCCTATGTCATTATTCATAATATGGAACACTAAAAGCAATCCAGGTGTCCAAAAATTAATATGTGTGTGTTTATACATACGTAAATACAGAGGAGTACTATAGTCATAAAAATAATTTACGGCTCTGGCCAGGTGGCTTGGTTGGGGTGTCATCCTGTGCACCAAAGGGTTGCAGGTTTGATTCCCAGTCAGGGCACATACCTAGGTTGTGGGTTTGATTCCCAGGTGGGAGTGTATGGGAGCCAACTGATCGATGTTTTTCTCTCTCTCTCTCTCTCTCTCTCTGTCTCTCCCTCCCTCCTTCTCTCCATCCGTCTCTAAAATCAATAAAAACATATCCTTGGATGTGGATTTTTAAAAATTATAATAATATACAGCTTACTGCTATGGGAAGATGTTATTCTCACATTGTTGAATTTTTTATTTATTTATTTATTTATTTTTTTTTTATCCTCACCCGAGGACATTTTTCCATTTTTTGTTCAGGTAGAGTGGGAGGGAGAGAGAGGAACAGAGAGAGAGAGAGAAACATCGATGTGAAAGGGACACATCGAGTGGCTCCCACCCGCACAACCGACCAGGGCCGGGGACAAACTGCAACCGAGGTACGCGCCCTTAGCGGGAACCGAACCCGGGTCTCTCAGGACCGCAGGCCGACGCTCTAACCGCTGAGCCAAACCGGCCAGGGCTCACATTGTTGAATTTAAAGGCACATTACAGAAGAGCAAATAGAGCATGATCTCATTTATTTAAAATATATTTTTAGTCTATTTACATATATTAGTATATATAAATAAATATTTGGCAGGACATTCACCAAAATATTAATAGTGCTTCTCTGTAAAATGATTAGGAACTTAGATTATTTTTAATTTCTTCCTAATTTTTTTGTTTTTGAGATTTTCTTCCTGAGAATATATCACTTTTCTAAAAATAATATAACTTTACGACCTCAAATTCATAATAAAACAAGCAGGAAATATATGCTGGTAGTTAATTAAAAGGTTTGGCATCCAGTTTCCTAGGAGAATACATTTCAGGAAAAGAACACTTTATGATGGGGGGGAGCTATCCTTGAATGATTGCTCATGTAGAGTATTTTTATTTAAATATCTATGAAAAGGATTGTATGTAATTCAGTTTCATCTTCTCCCTAACTATGATTTCAGAGAGAAATTGTGGTAAGAAAATTGTGGTAAGATATGTGGATATCATCTCTAAAATATTAAGTGATCTTGAAAAAAGTGAAGGAATTAAGAAGTACAAATTGGCCCAGCTGGTGTGGCTCAGTGTTTGAGCGTCGACCCATGCACCAAGAGGTCACCAGTTTGATTCCTGGTGAGGGCACATGCCCAGGTTGTGGGCCCAGTCCCTAGTGGGGGACATGCAGAAGGCAGCCAATCCATGTTCTCTCTCATCAGTGTCTCTATCTCTCTCTTCTGCTCTCTTCCTCTCTAAAATCAATAAAAATAAAAAAGAAGTGTAAATTGGTAGTTACAGAATAGTCACCAGCATGTAAACACAGTATAGGGAATATAGTCAATAAAATTGTAATAACTGTATATGGTGTCAGATGGGCATGAGATTTATCAGGATGATCACTTAAGTTATATAATATCTAATCATTGGGTTGTACACCTGAGACTAATACAGCATTGTATGTCAACTGTAATTGAAAAATAAAAAAATATTTAGGGTCAAAAAAGGAAAAAAAACTACAGTAAATAAATAGATATTAAGTGGTCTTCGCTCTGGCTTATCCTGAAAACCTAGGAATGGAAAAATTCTACTTTTCCAAATCTGATTACAATGTCTCTCTTTGGGTTTCAGGAACCAATAAAATCACGTGCTCCACAGCTTCATTTAGAGTACAGGTTTTATAAACAACTTGGCAGTGCAGGTAAGTCAAGTCTTTTTTCTCCTTCTACTAACATATAGCTTACCAGAAGCCCTAATAAATGCACATTTTCTTGACTACTTTCCTCTTTTACAAGACCATATATCTCCTCTGCTTGCTAATAGGTAAATAAACATAGTCAACTAAAAGGCTACTTGCTCTTTGGCTCATGGAGGAGCAGTTGAGTTAATTGGGGATCTGTGATGCTGTTACTGTACCTATAAACCAATCTTTGAATGTTTTCACTCACCTGAAATACACATGGTATGGGTTTTTTCTTTTTGGTAGTTTATTCATTCTCTTTCCATTTCTTTATGTATACCAGAAGAAAGGAGGAGTGGTTGCTAATTTGCAAACTATATTTCACCATATTGAGACTATATATCTGTTTTAAAGACATACTATAAAATACACGTTCTGAAATACCATAACACTGTCATTTTATTGATTGTTCTCATTAATTTGGAAGACATACCTAAATAATTATAATAACCTATGACCTTTGAGGATTTTTAAAAATTAAGTTTATAATTTTTAAAAAATGTTTTTTCCATTATTGATTTTTTAGAGAGAGAGAAAGTGAAAGGGTGAGAGAGATAGAAACATTGATGAGAGAGAACATTGATTGGCCGCCTCCCACATGCCCCCCACGGGGTGTCAGGCCCACAATCTGGGCATGTGTCCTGGCCAGGAATCGAACCGGCGACCTCTTGATGCATGGGTCGTTGCTCAACTACTGAGCCACACCAGCTGGACAAGTTTATAATTTTTTAACATGCCTATTTCTTTTTACGTAAAAGCTCTGAGTTTTTAAATAATCTTACTGGCTTCTAGAAAACTATCTTGACTCAGCAAATGTTATCAATCTTAAGGAGGTTGTACCTATAAGAGACCTCTCACAGAAGGATGAAATCCTTCATTGCTAGGATTTGACATTATTTAATATTAGTAGACATTCCTCTGTTTTATGCTTTCTTCGGTGTGACAGTTTTATGTGAATGACTAAAACATGGTTTCTATTTCAAGTATCACTGTTGAAGTTACTATTGAAGGAATTTGAGTTTCACTTCCTTAGAATATATAGAATTATCTTCCTTAAGAGCCACTTGATGTTATTAAAGTTCTTATACTCTGACAGCAATAATCAGCCATAGTCATAACCTAAGCAGGCGAGGATGGGCATTTGTCTTTCATTGAGCCTAAAATACGTTCTTGCTCATAGTAGCCTCTTAGTATAAACTACTTGTTCATTAATGTCATCCTTAAACATGGAGTATACCTGGCATAGGATTTAAAACTGGCAACTGAGCCCTGGCCGGTTTGGCTCAGCGGTTAGAGCGTCGGCCTGCGGTCCTGAGAGACCCGGGTTCAGTTCCCACTAAGGGCACGTACCTCAGTTGCAGTTTGTCCCCGGCCCTGGTCGGTTGTGCGGATGGCAGCCACTCGATGTGTTCCTTTCACATCGATGTTTCTCTCTCTCTCTGTTCCTTTCTCTCCCTCCCACTCTACCTGAACAAAAAATGGAAAAATGTCCTCGGATGAGGATAAAAAAAAAAATAAAAAATAAAAAAAATAAAATAAAACTGGCAACTGAGTGCATAGGACATATATATAACTTGAGGCTTGTCTTACCAGAACTAAACTTTAAGGTTGGCTGTTATGTTGTTCCTAGTTTCATAAGTTTCACAATGATAATTATCACAGCTCACTTATGATAAACATGTCTGTGCATGTCTCACAAATTTAACGCACAGGTAAAAACATGCTAGATCCAGCCTAACTTAGAAATTCGAGTGGGCCAAGGAAAGTAACGAGGCCAGTTTGCAGAATGTCCTCTGTAAGCCCTTCCAAATAGATGCAACCAGATCAGGCCAATGTTCCCTTTTCAGTATGGAGCCACAAAATCTCATGAACCTGTTAATGTAGGGATAACATATTTGCTGCTGGGTTCATACTATCTCCAGATACAGGAGAACTTGTATTGCTTGAAGTTTTGGCATTGTGCATGCATTAAAAACATTAAATAGGTAGGTCATTGGAGGACTTTAAAACTTACTATTTACTTAAGGCAGCAAGGAAGAAAACTGAGACCAGTACAACTATTGCTATCAGTGGGAATGGGGTAGGTAGGTAGGCTCTTTTGTAATAGTCAGGCCAGCTGTTGGCTCCACCATTAGCCTCCCTCCCAGTATCTCTTCTGACAGTCATCTAAAAGTCACAAAGCCTTTTAGGTCTTATATGAAGTTCGGTGGTGATTTCTGACATCTTTTCTGCTTTTTGAGAGTCCACTACACATAGAGTAGCTGTGGTGGGTGGTGTCTTCTTCATATTCTTGCCTGCAGCTAGCTAACAAGACAGCCACAAGCTTTTTCAAGATAGAAAGAGCTTTAGAGATCTGTTATAAATTTCTACCCAGTGTAAGAATTGCTTCTTCACAATTGGTCATTTATCTCTGTTTGACTACTCCTAGCCATAGAATTTATTGCTCTTTAAGATATTTCATTGTTGGAAATCCCAAGGCATTGGAAGTGCTTCAAATTTGGGCCAAAATTTGCCTTTTTTAAATTTGTGTGGAGCACTGTTGAGCCCTCTGAACCATCTTAGAGGCATTTGTAACAATTGTTATATACTGCCCCCTCTACCACTCACCTCCAAGCCTTGTTTTAAGCCACGTGCCTTCAGTTTAATTTACTGTTTTTGTAAATATCATTTACAGAGACTTAGCAATCATTGCTCCACTAGCAAGCATGAATGTGTGGGTGTGCACATTTCTTCATCTGAACAAAATATTTTTTTAAATTTAGAGTAGCTCTTTTAACAGCCATTTCACATAGTTGACTTTTATGATTTAATGGAGTTTTACTCAGCTGGCACCTTTATCCTCACCCGAGGACATTTTTTTTGCACTTATCTTTAGACAGACTGGGAGGGAGAGAGGGAGGAAGAGAGAGAGAAACATCGACGTGAGAGAGACACATAGAGTGGTTGCCACCCACACAACCCCAACGGGGGCCAGGGACAAACTGCAATCACGGTATATGCCCCTAGCGGGAACCAAACCCAGGACTCTCCAGTCCGTGGGCCAATGCTCTAGCCGCTGAACCAAACCAGCCAGGGCTACATGTTTTTCATATAAGCTTTCAGCAACCAAGGCTTTCTGTATTTTGTTATGACTAATACTGGGATATTTTTCAATTCTGGTTTTGTCACTGATGATTATGTATTGACTTGTTTTTAATTATAACTGCATACCCTCCTGCCCTTAAGACTATAAGTTCCTCAAGAGCAAGGCTTGTTATACCCAGCTGGTGTGGCTCAGTGGTTGAGCGTCGACCCATGCACCAAGAGGTCGCCAGTTCGATTCCTGGTCAGGGTGCATAGGTGCATACCCAGGTTGTGGGCCCAATCCCCAGTGGGGGGCATGCAGGAGGAGGCCAATTGATGTTCTGTCTCATTGACGTTTCTATTTCTCTCTCTCTCTTCCTCTCTTTCTCAAATCAATAAAGAAAAAAATATTAAAAAAACAAACAAACAAAAAACAGCCCTGGCCGGTTTGGCTCAGCGGTTAGAGCATTGGCCTGCGGTCCAGAGAGACCCAGGTTCGGTTCCCACTAAGGGCGGATACCTCGGTTGTAGTTTGTCCCTGGTCCTGGTTGGGTCATGTGGGTGGCAGCTACTCGATGTGTCCCTTTCACATTGATGTTTCTCTCTCACTCTCTCTCTTCCTCTCTCTCCCTCCCATTCTACCTAAACAAAAAATGGAAAAATGGCCTCAGGTGAGGATTAAAAAAAAAAGAAGAACAAGGTTTGTACCTTCTTCACCCTTGTGTCTCAGTTGTCAAGGACCAACATAGTTCTTTCACGTAGTAGGCAGTTGGGAATTTTTTTGATGACAGAAAGAATTTAGGAAGATTTGATAAGGATGTGTTTTTATTTATTTATTTTTATGTTTTATGCTCACCCGAGGACATTTTTTCTATTTATCTTTAGACAGATTAGGAGAGAGAGAGAGGGAGAGGCAGAGAGAGAGAGAGAGAGAGAAACATCGATGTGAGAGACACATCGACTGGTTGCCTCCTGTGTGACCTGGGGATGAACCGCAACCAAGGTACATGCCCTTGGCCCGAATTGAACCTGAGTCTCATTGGTCCACAGACGATGCTCTAACTGCTGAGCCCACCTGGCTAGGGCTTAAGCATGTGTTTTTAGATTTTTGCCAAGTTACTATAAAAATATTCTCTGAGAATAGACAAAAAGGAAATTTATTTTGAAAGTAGATCAGTTGACAAGAAAGTAGACAAGATTTTACCATGTCTAATTATAAATGTGAGCACAAACATTAGAGCTTCTTCCTAACTTATAAGTAAGTATAAGTATTTATCTCCCTATTTTTTTTTTTCATTTATTGATTTTAGAGAGAGATGAAGAGAGGGGGAAATATTGGTTTGTTGTTCCACTTATTTGTGCATTTATTGGTTGCTTCTTGGATGTGCCCTGACTGGGGATTGAATCCCCAACTTTGGTGTATCTGGAGGACACTCTAACCAACTGAGGCTACCTGGCCATGGCTTCTCCTTATTTTTGTAGAGTGAGTTCCCAGTTGTAAATGTTACTCGTCTTATCAGATTAGTTTGAACAGCCAGAGCACATAAGCGATTCTCTTCAGAATCAAGGTGATGATGTGTCATTTTAAATAAACAGCACAGCCCTGGCCGGTTTGGCTCAGCGGTTAGAGCATCGGCCTGCGGTCCGGAGAGACCCGGGTTCGGTTCCCGCTAAGGGCACGTACCTCGGTTGCAGTTTGTCCCCTGCCCTGGTTGGTTGTGCAGGTGGCGACCACTCGATGTGTCCCTTTCACATCGATGTTTCTCTCTCTGTGTTCCTCTTCCTCCCTCCCACTCTATCTGAACAAAGAATGGAAAAATGTCCTCGGGTGAGGATGATTAAAAAAAAAAAAAAAAAAAAAAATAAACAGCACATAGTAACCAAAATAATGTGATCAG